CTATTTCTTTGTGTTTCTTCCAGGTATGGTTAATCGAGAGGTACTTGAGCAGGTAGAACGAGGTTACCGCATGCCTTGCCCCCAGGGGTGCCCCGAGTCCCTCCATGAGATGATGAGGCATTGCTGGAAGAAGGAGCCAGATGAAAGACCGACCTTTGAATACATCCAGTCCTTCTTGGAAGACTACTTCACAGCCACAGAGCCACAGTACCAGCCAGGGGACAACCTCTAGTCTGGGGGATTTGGGGGGCGAACTGTGGCCTCACACAGAGGTACATCAGTGGAGATCAAAGCTTGGGACAACAGACAACTTCAATGGTAAAAGCCTTGATGAGGCTGCAGAGAAAGAAGTTTTAATGCTACAAACTAGTCCACAACCACACTGGTATATCTGCAAGAAGAAAATATTTTCCGAAGTAGAGGTTTGTCCCTTGTGTACTCGGGGACCAAATGTTTGGGGGAGTGTCCAACTGTGCAGATTCGTGCTGGTACTTTAAACTCGTGGACCCCTCTAATCAGAATAATCCATATGAACTGGCACCAACACTGTGATCAAAAAGAGAGGATTTTCTCCTAATTTCAAATAAATGGCAGATGCAGTTTTTCTTTTTTTTTCTTACTTTTAAAAAAATCCCCTTGTCTCCATTCTTAAACTTTATTTTATTTTACACCACATTCCTTGCTTTTCACAGAATTGACACCTGGAAACACAAAATAAGCCAAAACTACATCAAATGGGCCAAAAAAATCACCGGTTCATACTTTTGCTATTACACCCAAACTAAGTTAGAGAGCCACATTCCAAAATCCCTCTATTATCGATATTGGGGTCAAGATCTTTTACCTGTACATGAGTTTGGTTTGAATATGTAGGTTGATAAGTGTGTTTTTTTTTAAGTGACCAACAACTGTGGTTGAAAAGTATGTGCCGTGACTGTAAAGCTTTGATGGAGGAGGGTGAGGAGGAGGAGGAGTAAATGAAACAGATGTACTTTATGGATGCAAGAATGTACTGAGAGATCAAAGCAGATGTACATACAGTATGTGCAACAAGATGTATTTTTAGCAGGTGTGATCAGGTGGGATGAATGCGAACGTGAGAAGTGATTTGTATGATTCTTTTTAACACACTTGAACGGCAAATCACGACGATGTTTTTTCTTTATTTTTTATTTAAACGGGGACTTGAAATCATAAAGAGGTATTTTGATAATATACAAGTGCAAAAAAACATTTTTCCTGTTTAACATTTTATAAATGTTTTGAAATGGACACTTCAGCTGTGAAAATTAAGTAAGATTGAGTTTGTTTCTGTCTGAAATTAGCATCTTGTCTTTTGTTCTCTGCACATCTCCAATTGCTGTAAAAGACTCTAACATATTTCTTCTTATATTGCACATCTACAGAGTTTAACATTGCAGTAGATGAGCTATCTCACGATAGATGGTCCAGGAAACTGTTAGATCTATTAAATTCATCAAATCATCATGTAAATCATACATGCAGCTGTAGTATTTTCTTTTTCTTCTTCTCAGTAAAAAAACACAAACCTGTGACTAACTACGTCTTCAATGTTCTTGGTGTCTGCTGGAGGGAAGGTTTTGTCCAAAGCCAACAACTCGAAACAAATCTATTTCATTTGTAAATGCAACTATGCAAAGTCATCCAGTGATGGTTTATGGAACGGAAAGCCTCATATGGTATCTGCCTGTGTCAAGCTCCCCATTTGGTTTTCTTATTTCCGTTCCCAGTTGTAGAAATGATGGATCACTTCTGGAGTGAAGTAACGAGAACCAGACAAACCTAACACCTTGCACACACTGTGATCAGGTCAGGGCTTTAGTGCTTTTTTTTTAATAGATATTGAGAATACAAAAGTCCAATAACAAGGTACTTCCACTGTCTGTCAAGGCGGGATGCGATGGGAAATTTGAGAAGCTATAAAGGCAACTTTCTTAATGGAATTCAGTAAGTAAGCTTAAGGATTGGACAAATATGTGAACTTTTTTCCTTTTCCTTTCTGTGCGTCACTCACGAGAACCTAACATGTGATTGTTAGTGGGGAGATGATAATGAAATTACTGAGAATTGTAACTAATATGATTTTGTACAGTAAAATAAAAGTTTTACTCCAAGGTTTCCTTTAACTCTTTTTTTCTTGACTAGCAACCAAGAAACCAGTTAAACATTGATAAATCATCCAGCACTCCTCTTGTGGAACATTTGATTAAGTCACACTTACTTGTATTTTATTTGTTTTTATTTATTCACACCAGTTGACAGATGTGAAGTACATTTCATGTTTACATTCAATAAATAGCAATGATTGATATGGTTCAGCTTTAGTGTATTTACATTTTAACAAGATTATGCTACTATACAGAAACACAGTCTAGTTCTGTTAATAAATAAAGTGCTGATAGAAGCTCAGAAAAGGAAATCCTGTAGTTCTACTCTTCCTCATACCTGAAAAGAAAGAGAGAATGCCATTTAGGTCAGAATTTTCAATCAAAACTCGGGCAAAAGAGATTGGAAATAGATGATGGATGACACATGCCCTTGGTGAAATCAAGGCCTGTGATATGACTAGCGCATGGTACATTGGAGGTCGTGGAAGTTCTCACCTGACCATCTCCTTGTACTTGCTCAGGGCCTCCTGGGTCACATACTGGATGAAGGCCGGGTCCTGCAGCTCCAGCTCCCCGGGAACCGAGAGGATGAGTGGGGAAGAGTTCAGGATGTTTACCTCCACCTTGGTCTCAGTCACAGATAAATTCTGGTCCTCATGGTTCTTTGGCGCCACCTGGAGAGCGGAACAATTATTGATTTACAATTATTGGTGGTTGACAATTTTTTTTTTTCATACCAATTTAGAAAAATCCAATCCGATATGTTTCTCTCCACTTGACCTATGTCTATTTATTTTATGTTTTTAACGACTTATATTAGTTTCTAATTTGCGAAGGCTCTCAAGATGAATTACTTAGACCAAATTTGAACCTTTTCTGTACATTTCCTATTTGAACATGATCAACAGAACAAGTTAACTTTGTTTTTCATAGTTAGGGACCCATATATACACTGAAACAGGTTTTATTTGCTGTAATCATTCCTTCGTCCAGTGGGCATTAAGAGATGTCTTTCCAATATAAATGGGGGACAAAACTATATTCTTAATTTTATTTATTATATAGTTAATAGGAGGGCTCAGCAGTCAAGCGAAATGAAATGGGTAGTTTCCAAACTACAAACTGTCCTCTTTGTGTTACTAGAGTGAATTCTGTACTCAAAAGATACCCACTTAGTTTGTCTATAGATAAACTTTGGTATATATGTTGTCACGGAACGAGGGCTGTGGATTTTGTCTCCCATCTCTTACACTGGAAGCACATTAGGAAGTGATCTCTTAACCGTCAGTATAAACCATTCAGTTTCCTTCACTCCTTCTCACCATGATGATACGGAAGATGTTGTCAGGAGTGCTGCTGTTGCTCACAGCCTGAGCCACCCAGCTGAATTCACTCGCCATATTGCTGAGCCAGCTGACTGTCTCATCAGTGTGGCGCTGGACAATAGACAAGACCTCATCATACTGCTCTTTGGAGACATCCAGCAGCTGGGAAACCTCATCCAGCTCCACATGCAGCTCCCGAACACTGGGGCACTCTGGAGACAGGAAGAGGAGCGGTCACATGAGCTGCTGTATGCAAAGCTGAAGTAAACACAAGCTGTGAGGGTGGTGGTGCCTCACCTGTGAGCAGGGCTCCCTGGCAGGCCTCACACTGGTTCTGAAGCTGCCAGCACTCTGAGGTCTGTTTGCGAAGGTCTCTGCACAACTTCCTGTTCCGCAGGAAACGGGGGAAAGTTTCCCTCGCTACCCCAAACAGAAAGAAAGCTTAAAAATTAGTGTTTTTGTTGATATTGCTTGAAGAGGTTTATTGTTACATCTAAATATTTGTCTCTGGAATATATTTCTTTCTCAAATATTAAAGGTGACCACATTTAAACTATGGGTTTGGTGCAGTGTATTTCAACTTTTAACCTTTTTTAAGATTACAGTTGTTCTAACCCAGTACTTCATCATGTGCCACTGAAGACAGAATATCACCACTCAGTGGCAGCTATTATAAGTTCCCACATACAACCAGAGGAATCAGTAGTTTTAGTGTTTTTCTGACACATTTGGGCCTCTCTGGCACCAGCTGGCTGCTGCCCACCATTACCTTTCTTCTTCTCTTCTTGCACTGCCTCATTGAGGTCATCAAACACCTGGGTCACCACAGCCCCAAACTCTTCCACCACGCTCTTGCCGAAGTCAAAGAAGGAGTCCAGAACCTCCTCCAGCCCCACACCCTGCAGGAAGCCCGAGTCACGGCTGGGGTCGTAGGGATCAGTGGTGGTCTCCTCCATCAGGGTCTCTGTGTGGTTCAGGAAGGCGCTCTGGAGGACTTTGTCGAGCCTGGTGCTCATCCTGGAGACCAAGGTGACGCTGCGGTTCACCAGCGTGCCCACCTTGCTGATCAGGCGGTTGAAGGAATCCTCGATGCGGACAACCTCAGCGTCACTGTTGTCGGGGCCCTGATTCACCAGGATGTCCCCTGCATCAGTGCGAGGCTCACGGGGGCCAAAGCGCCTGGACACTCTGCGGAATAAGTTCTCCACCTACAGTATAAAAAATAATGAAGGTATGTTTATCCTTTAACCTTTTACAGAGTGGTGTTAACCTTTTTTAAATAATACATACTTCTACCTCTCCAGACCTCCAAAAACTGTTCAAATGAATTATAACTCACAACTCATAGGCCTGTGGGAGCCCACGAGAGAATGTATAGAGGTGGCATGGGGGGGGCAGCTGTAGCTGTATCTAAAAAGATGCGTTTACACCCCAGTTTGGTGTCAAATACTGTCAAATTTAACACATTACTTTAGATTAATTCTATTTTTAAACAACGGACATTAACATATAATGTAATGATCTGCTGTGGGCCACATTTTAGATTAAGTAATAGGCTTCAATTCAAAAGTTTAATGAAAAAAAGACATGCATTTGGAAAAATGAAAATAAAGCAGTTTATTGATTTCTATTACCACCTTTAGCTATGTCTGTTCAATGCTTTACTGATGTGCCACAATAAAGTAGGTAATGTGTTTAAATTATATCTTCATTTAAGGGGAAAAAATATGTGTGATTAAATTTGTAATTAAATCACCATGCACCCCATTGATATTTTGGTATATCCACCCCCCGCATGCCTGGCCTGTCATGGGGGGTCAAAACAAGACACAGCTTGGGAACCATTGGTCTAAAAGAAAAATGCATGTATGCATGATTTACATTTACATAAGTGCAGTCATTTTTTATCATTGATTGTCATTCATTACAAATGCATGCAGCTAATTTTAGGTGATCTGTCAACAGAGAGAATATGGCACCAACTGAGGCAAGAGATGTGATTGCAAAAAAGGTAAGATTTCAACTGACAGTTGATGATACAGTTTCGTTATTTTTGGTAATGTTGCTACAAGAGTTTGAAGGTTAGAGTAAGAAAGGCAGAGATTGGAGCTAGTTTTCATACCTTGGCATGAAAAGTGGCAAATCCCCTGCGGCAGGTGGAGGTGTAGAAGGTTTTACATGCATCCTCCAGACAGGGTCTGCACTCCTCCCACTCAGACTGCAGGGAGTCTTTGCACTGCTCCTCTGCCTCCTCCAGCTTCTCAGTCACCTCCTTTGCCAGTTGGGCTGCCCCCTGGTGGCAGAAAGGGAAACCTTTTTATTGGCTTGCTTTTGTCTTTGTTCTCTTCCTTGCTTGGGAGAGTTTAACATTGGTCTTACATTCTTCTTCTCACTGCTGTGTTGGAGGGACTTCATGAGGTGTTCATGCTTCTGCCCGTTCCTCCACATCACCTCCTTCATCTGCTTCACCCCATACAGAGCTCTCCTCACCTCCTCATCCACAAGTTTCTCGCCATCCATGGACAACTCTAAGACAGAGAAGGAGGAGAATTACGCCAGGATGAAATGTTTTTATAAACACATTATCATATTTTTCACAGTCAAAACAGGAAATTGAGCAAAATTATTGACTCTTCAAAAACACTGCAATTTTATTTTTATAGCACAGAACAAAGTTACATCTAAAGTGAATTAAATGACATAATCAAAACAGTTGAATAAAGTCTATAAAATAAGTGATTATATGCCACTCCATTTACTATATATATATCAGAAGACACAGACTTTTAACTTTAACTTTGAACTAACTGGTACAAAACAAAGAACAATACATGTTCCTTTAAGTAACATAAAAATAAGATTTCTCTAGCTGACTCACGTTTTAAGGTGTCCTCCGAGATGCCTGGGGGTTTGTCATCTGGAGCAGAGTAAAGGACCCCCAGTGTCACCACCAGGACAGCCAAACCGAGCAGGAGCTTCATTCTTGAGCTCAGTCTGTGTCTTAGAAGGCAAAACTCAGTCTGAAAGGACATGACAAGTGTGGTTATGACTGGTACAGAATCCCATTTTCACACTGTCGGATGAACATATTTACCTTATGATCACACACAAGCACCAATACAATGCAAGTTCACACGTACCCACAATGTGTTTAAATAGGGAAACTAAAACAGCAGGTGCTATCTAGTCTGATCCAGAAAGCTAATAGGATTTGAGCTTGAGCATGATTAAACATCAACAATACTGTGGACATGAGCAGGTCTGCCACTTGGTGGTGCTACACATCTGTCTGGACCTAAAAAAAACTACAGTCATATTTCCCTATTGGCCAGGGTTATTTCTAGTTAAGTGAGACTACTAATACATCTTTAAAAATCCTTTAATAGTTCATGTGCAGTAATAGTGGTGATAGATAATCAGAGGTTGATCTGAACCCCTTTTTGTCACGTAAAGGGGTTCTGAGGTGAATATTTAGACAGCTGGAGCATTTACTTACAAATCACTTTTCTTCCATGTTTTAATAAGTTTCAGTCCTATGTGTTGTACTACATTTCCATATGTTTGTATTGCTTTGATAATATTGTAAAAGATGTCTCTCTTTCCTTCTTCTGTGGACATTTGTGTACTGTTATTCATTAGACTGGCTGGTAACAGCTTGACTTTAAGCGATACCATTAGGAGGTCAACAGTACGGGGTGAGACACCTAATAAGATACATCATGGGGCTCACCTCAGCTTGAAAACTTGGCAGGCTGTGTTTATGTCTGAACCATCTGCTGTCAGGAGGTCAGGCTCCATCGAGTCATAAAAGTGGACAAGAAACCTTGAAAGGCTTCTGATATCATAACTTGTTTTAAATTGGGAACCAGTCAACAAGCTTAACTCACCTGCCTCACATAACTGGAGACCCTGGCCCCAGAGGAGTTACACAAACTGGCATCCAGCAGGGATTTACAGTAAATGAGGATGTACTGCCTTGACTTATTTCATTATGGGTTTAAGTTGCTGGTACAGTCAGCTCTATTATATCCTCCTCACAACATATCTAGCTCTTGTTTCTAGTGCAAGAACTATATATATAATCTACACATTATTGTATAATTATGAATTTTAAATACATTTAAAGAGGCACAGAGTGATGACACTGATGCTGCAGTAAACCATCTTTATTTTCAGTATCACGTTAAAGTATCAAGCAAACATAATGAGCAGTTTAAATGATGACACCATTTTTGACACATGAATTTCTCAAGATTCACAGTAAAAATATCCTGATTCAAACAAAATATTAAACTCAACTAAAGTGAAATACAAAACGCAAGGTTACGACTCAGCCTAAAAGACCCCAAAAATAGCCCTAAGTGACCATCAAAACAAAGAAACTTACCAGTAGATGACTGTAGGTGCTTCTCCACTGGCAGGAATAAACAAACTGCCCTGTGTGCGCAGCAGTCGTGAAGTTATATTGACCTGACCAAGTCTATTTGTGCTCTTTCCACCCCAGCTTTATCCTATTACAGTCTTTGCTTGATGTTGATGCCCGTTAATCCAGCATTCAACACGCTTGTTTTGCATAAGAGGTTGCTTAGTCATGTCAGACACAGACTACTGTTTACACATAGGAAAAGTGTATTCATTTCAAATGTGGCAACATAGCTGTCACATTAGCGTGCCACTAATTCAGAATATCACACATACGATCACTGGATTAAAATACAGAAAGGATCAGTCGCAAGTTGATGTCATATTGTCTTTTATTTGAAGAGCAGATAAGTATTTCTCATATCAATACAACAAGTTACGATTTCTGCCACAAATATTTCAGTTTTAACATAATTTTAAGAAAAGTATTGATTAAACCTGGTAAAACAGCTATTTACTTTGTGCCGGATGTTTTGGAAATGTTCATAAATTTAATTCCCTTAATCAACTAATGCTATTAATTCCAATCTGACAGCATCAAGTTGCAGGAGCCATTAAGGACTCTAAGTGCTGGAAAAGGCAAAAGTAGACAAAATACTGGTAAAAGTAGAAGTACTGAATTAACTTCTTTACTCAAGTAAAGAGTACATTTCAGGCTCTGAAATGTACTCAGAGTATATAAGTAAGAAGTATTCTCTCTGTTTCTCTGAAGGACATTTCCACTGGCTGTTTCTGTGTGAAGCTAACTGAAACTTCAAATAGGATCGGGTCTTCCTCTTGCAATGTCTTTTATGTTCTTTTTCTCATATCGTACCTTATATGCATCAGTTTTAATATTGGGAATACGTGCAATGATGGAAAAAAAAAGCAAAATAAATAAATTCCCCTCATGCATTAAAATTTGAGTAAAGTATAGGAGTAGGAAGTACAGATATTTGTGTAAAAATACTCAAGTAAAGTACAGATACCCAAATTATACTAAAGATTATTTTGTTCATGTACAAAAACTACACAGTGGCCATTTGATGAAAAGCACATTATAACTTGCTTATGACTCAAAACCCAACGTTTAGGACTTGGGAATTGAGAGCACAGACATGAGACTTATTTATGAGCAAAACAATGACATGGTCCCACCTCTGTTAATAACACACATATTAAATCAATATGACTATAATCCTTAATACAACACACACACACACACAAGATCACATGATCAGAGAGTGTTAAACGGGACCTGATCCATGTGCTGATCTCATAAGAGCGGTAACTGCTTTAACACGTAGGTTACTGTAAATACATGACCACATATTCACATAATATACACATGCCCTTATTTAATTTTTTTAAGATGATTAACTTTATTTGAAGTGATAAGTAAAACCATGTATACACTGCCACCAGCTATTCTTGGGTCTATATCCAGATGTGAATCCAGAGTATTTTTAGTAAAAAGGAAACATACCTCTCAGTAGGAAGCAGTTTAGTATCTCCACTTGTGATGGAATGTGAGGGGTTGGGGGTGAAAGGGTTCCTCTGTCCCCATCTCTTCACTGGTGCCCCATCTACCTCAAAAATGTGCCCTCTTTGTATGCTGTGACCCAGAAAATAGGGTCCACACTGGATAATAATCAAAAACAGCCAGTGCTTCAGCTCAGTCGGGCACCTCGCTGACACCTTCAACACCTGGTTCCTATAACACCGCAGGAAGAATCGTTCTTGTCGTCCCGTGGTCGACCCATAAACAGTTCCACATAAAAGGGTTTTAAGGCTACGTGCACGCAATCACTCATAGAGGAATGAATGTAAATCACAGTAAACATTTTGTGCAAGTTGAGACATTTTTTTGTTAATTTGATAGACCTCTTAGAGCCCTATAAGGGAACTTTTGAGTTTTTGGAGAGTTCTTATAAACTTCAAGGTGTAGCAGGAGGTCCATATAATCAGCTCACAACGTGGGCTTATGGTACTGATCAAAGCATGGAGGAGTCCTGAACTGAAGAGATAAACAGGTGCAGGGGATAAACTTTACGCAGACCTGAAGTAATGGATGAAACAGTTAAAGACTGGGAACCAACAGGTCTCACAGCTGTGTTGAGTTTTGTTTGAGGGAACAGGATTTGTGTCTTAATTTAGCTTGTTAGCAAGCTTAAAGTGGAACATGCAGCAGACATTTCCTCAGTCTAAAATACAATAATGGGCACTGTGTGTGAGAAACTCTTTAACTTCATGGTTAAATAACAGCAGATGTTAGGAATAAATATATTTGGGACTTCATGGTATATTCTTCTGTGGACACATGAAAATGTGATCACAGTTCATTTGTATAATTTAAAGCTGCTATAATCAATATTTTAATATTAACTATTGATCAAATGATTCTTTGTAATGTGAAAGGTGGGAGTTGAAGCATCTTTCAGCTTATTGTTTCTGCTCACTCCGACTGCTCTTATCAGCCTAAGAGCCAGATCCTTTAGCAGCTGGAAGAGACCAAAAACAGAGCTAAAAGAGCAAGAGTATTGGCCTTTTATTCACCTGGTGGCCAGAAACAAGCCTCCAAATAAAAGTTAATGTTGCTCTGTGTCTGCTGGATGTGTTAATGTTTGCTAACACGTTCGTACTGACAACTGTACAGCTTGTTCTTACCTCAAACTGGCAAAGAACTTTTGGGCATGTTGTGCAAGAGTGCAAGCAGTTTTAGATGGTCATATATTTGTAATTCAACTTTAAGTCAGACACATTTCAATATACAGTAACATTTTAGATCATTTTTACTCTTGGTTTTCTTTTCTTTTGCAATATCACAGCTTCTCTAACCCACCAAACCCAGCCAATCTTTTCAAAATAAAATCAAATCTAAAAGGAGGAAACAAAATGTAGTTTTGCAGAATGACTAAACGTCTTTCTCTCTATTCAGTATGAAAACTAATGTCATCACAATTAATCCTACATTGACAAGATAGAGGCTTCGATTCTAGTGAAAGAAATGTCTGTAATGGGAATGTGGACAAAACGCAACACATGAGTGCTTTTATTTTGACATCCACAACCCCACATGTTGCTCAAGTAGCTGGAAACTGTTTGTTATGCCTGTTATTGGTTGCTTTGCCGTACAATGGCATACTTACAAGTCCAAACCGACACTGTTACTACTGCTTATTTAGCGCACGCACGCACACACACACGCACACACACACACACACACACATACACACACACAGCAAACCAGGGGTGCAGACGGTGCGCACAGATGTGGGAACACGTGGTTTCTCCGAGCAGCCCTACGGGCGCACCACTTCCTCTCACGTTTGGATTCCTACACTTCTCGAGTTTCTCCGGTTACTGCTGCGGGTACCACCGGAGTGCTGAGCTGGACCAGGATTCACCCTCACCTCGGCATCTTTTAAAAACTGCCAGATAAACAATAAGATTTATTTTTTCTCTTGCTCCTGTGACTCCCACACGCATTCCCTACTTCCAACAAAGTTCATCCATCTTTTCGCTGCAGCATCTGAGGTGCGACACTGAAGTTACCTGCGCGGTAGAAGATCCTCACTACACCTAAAGAGTCACGGATGGAGCTTTGAGTGGTTGTTTCTTACTACTCCCCCCCTGCCTCCCCCCCAAAAAACCCCAAAACCAGTGGATTGTGGGATACTCGCGGATCCAAGGTGCCGTGCGCTCAAAGGAAGCTTTTGGGCAAATGCCATTGCGATGCTGTGGATGTAACTTCAGACAACAGCTTCACAACGGTAGCGTCCTGTAAACCACAATGAAAGGTAGGCTCATGAATCAGGCAGAAGTGATGTGGAGCGCACGGCGCAGTGTCACTGATGATCATTTGATCTATTTTCTGCTCCTGTCGCCGCTTTCTTTCTCACTTTTTCTGCCTCTTTTTCTCTCAGTCTGAGGCGCGAGGAATGCGTGGGCTACAACTCGCGTCTCACATCTGGTTTCAATTAGGGGACTCTGTTTGGGAAGTTTTTTTTTCTGCATCTGGTCGCTGCTGCACATCAAACACTAACCTAAACACAACCAAAAAAAAAAAACATGTTTATTGCTTCACTGAGAGTAAGTTTTTGTGACTTTGGGTTTAAATATTAAAATGGTTGTGCCTTTTTTTTTAATGGCTTTTCTCTTCATGTTTATGTTCTGCTCGTATGTGTTTGATTTAAAGTTTGTCTTGGCTTAAAAGAAATCATCAGCACAGAAGGAAATTCTGAGTCAGGCTTAAGTCCCCGTACATGTGCAGCACGAACAGCGCGCGTCCTGCATTCACCCCCCGGAGCCATAAATCCAATGACTTTGCTGCTCTCAACACATTACAGAAAATATTACAGACCCAGAAGAATGTGCATGAGTCATGGCGGGTGGGTAGCAACTCATCATTTTAAATAAAGGTTTGTATAAAGTTTGCCCCAGATGTGATCCTCATGTGGCGATCTGTTTTGGATGTTTCTAAATTAACATCACGCATGTCGTTCTCACCCACTTACAAAGGCACTTGATAGGTCAAGGAGCTGATTCCTTGTTACACTGTATAAACATTACACGACTCCTGCCACCTTGTGGTCCATCGTAGAATACTGACACAAAGCTCTGCATTGTGGGCATGAATGTAAACAGCTCTCTGCTCTTACAGTAAGTCTGGCATGTGACTGGCATGTTGGTCACTTCTTGCTGCTACTGTAACTGCAGTGAGAGGCGATGGGGCTTAACATGAACGACATCATGTTGTTTTTAGAGGACAATAGTGGGAGCTATAATTTGTTTTTTTTAAAGAATTGGGCAGCACTGTAGACACTTTGGGTTTAAAAGAAAAACCAAGTAAGTTTGGACTTGATAAGGTTTTTTTGTTAACCTATTTCCAGTTGCAAAATTGTTATACCTTTCATAGAAATCAAACAAACACATAACAAAGACATGATCCTGGTTTTTCAGTTTTTTTGGAGATGCAACTAAAAGCACATTCAAGAAGAATAAGTCAATCAAACTGTCGGAATCTGTATGAAGCAATCTGATTTTGACAACAACAAGGACAAACACTAACATGTCACAGGATGCAGGAAATAGTCGGTGATAATTTTCATAAAAATATTGATATATTGTAGTATGCTGTTCCCAGTGAGCATTTATGTTCGTGATTTGAAATCCAAAAGAGGTCTAAGTCGGTGGTTTTCAAACTGGGATCCAGGGACCAACAGGGGTCAATGATTGGGTAGTAGGGGGTCCCTAGAGGAGTAGTTTTATCAAATTTTTTGAAAGTTGGAACAACAAGGAAATCTATTGGCTTTTTATTTATTGCAACTTATAGTGATCCCAGTTTGACTGGCTATGAAGACTTAACTAGACCTAAAAATAATGGAAATACTCAGAGGCGGTTCCTAAATAAACATAAACAAGTTTAAACCAAGATGCCTACATATTATATTACCTATAAATATATATTTTACCTGCAGAACCACCAAATCATTGCTTGTCTCGTTTTTTACGTATTCATACAGCAATAACCATATTAAAATCCAAATTACACTGAACTGGACTCATATTCAGATCCTCTCCACTTTCAACCTTCTTGTGATGAATCCATTTCCCCGAATGGCTCTTGCAAATCCAGACATACTTACGGTAACATTACCATTGTAATGGGACACATTAATGTTGCTTGGAAACACAAACAGGAAACAGAGTATTGGGGGTATTGGGAAAAGCAAATTCCTCAAGTAAGATGTGGTTTCAGTGCTGTTTACATCATTCTTGTCACCTCTTGACTCACTCTGCTCTCAGTCATGAGATGTTTGCTCAAAAATCACAGGGTTTTCTTTCTGTTTTAAGCCACAGAACAGTAATTCATGAACATTCCCAGACTACATGTTAAACTCAGGAAGAGACATACAATACACCCTAAAAAAGACAATATAATTAGACATTCTGTACTTCTCTGATGGACAGAAATTGCTCTCATATCGCCACACCTCCGCTTTTGGTATTACAGATAAAGAGATCTTTTTTTTCTAAGCTCCTTGTCTCCTCGGGACATGTGGTGTTTCTTTATTTTGACTGGCCATGGATGATGACACACAAAAAAAAGCTTTGAAGTTGGCGAAGTACTTTCCCACAGGCGTAAGACAACACTCGTGGCCTGCCAGGCCATGGGAGATGGGAGTAAACCCACTAAGTGAAAGAAAAAAGCGAGTTTACTTAAAAGAGTTAAGCTAATCTGAATGAGACAAGGTGTATTTTTTATTTATTTAATATGAAGCAATGCACAAAAAATGGCTTTAGTGGACTGAAACAAAGGGGAAAAAAAGGAATTGTGAAAGTTCATTCTGTTGACAAAAATAGCTCACGGCCCACTTACCAGCTTCTTAATGGAGCTTTCAGCCACATTTCATAGTCTTCATCAGCAAGAAAGGTTGCTGAGTTTGCAGAAAATTCAGCAAACTATCTGCCAATGAAGACTGCGAGAGCTCCAGTGAAATGTTTGTACGTGGACCTTAACTTCTGATGGTTTTTTTTCCAAGAATGTTAATCATTTGGATGCTTATGTAATTAGATAAAGTTAATGTGCCAGTCTCTCAGTTTTACGATTTAACTGCAATATGACTATTTCCATTGCTCTTTATATCTTTAATTCCCAATTAATTCATTTATTTCTGTGTTCTCCCTCCAGACGACTTTGCTGATGAGGAGGAGGTGCAGTCCTTTGGTTATAAGAGGTTTGGTAAGTATCAATCACTTCTTGACTTCCAGCTGTGAACTTAAAGGACCAGCTCCACTGGTTCATATCCCTCATGACACATCTGTGATGTCAATTTTGCAAATTAATATTTTCTTTAAATATAGTATTTTTCTTGGCTGTAATCCATCCACAAGGTTAAAAGGCCACACCTCGATTCCCAGAAACTAACTTATTTTTGGCTCATGCTTTCATTTTTTATTTCTCTGTTATAACAGCAGTGGGCTTCAGTGGAAAGGGAAACCACAGCGTCCTGGGTGTTCCTGACTGACTTTGCAACCTTATCAGCATCTCAGTGTCCTTGTGTTTCACTGGCACAAAACTGCACATAATAACCTGGTCTAAAACCAAAAAATCAGTCACAAAGTGAGTCTGCTGATCTAGCTCAATGTATCTGCCTCTCAGGTTCACAATCTCACCCACTCATCTGGCACTAACAATTCTACCCATTGGGCAGATGTTGGTGCCTCCCCAGCTGTGTGTAGCACATTCAAAAATGTTGCATTAACACATTCCTTGAGTTCAAGTGGATCTTCTGACACGAGCCACAGTCATTTCCTCCGAGAAAGATTTTAGCAAAATATGCAAAACCTACTTTGGAAAACCCAAGGTTTTTTTCCCTCAGATATTAAACTGGGCCTGAAAAGACTAGACTTAGATTTTAGCATCAGTAGTTATTCAGGGAAAGTGGAACTTTCCATTTAGAATATTGATCATTTGCCTTAAGGTACCTCTGGCATATGTGCATAAATAAAATATTTTTAAATTTGCCAATACCTGAGAACTTATTGTATAGACTAAATTAAACTAACTAAAAAAGTATCTCTCTTTTGAATGCATTGGTGGTTGATATTGTCTTAATGGTTGTTCGAAAACATGGCTGCCATTAGGCAATAATCAACTTTCTTTTCATGTCTGTGCCCAAGGTTCCTAGAATGTGGTCCTTACATAAGTGTTAATATTGCCTATATATAATAGTCCTGGAGAGTTACAACAAAATATTTTACATTTAGACCCTTGATCCATCAAAGGTAGAATAAGAAGTTATGTAACTTCTGAAAAGATGTGACAATAGAAAGAACCACTTTCTGTAGTTTTGAAGAGCTTTTGTGTTTTGTGTTGTAGCAGTTTCTTGGTCTTTTGACTCACATATAGCACCAAATGTCATTTAGGAACACAAATACTTGTCTTTATTTTTCGTATTATACATCAACCATTTGTTTAAATAAGTGTGTCCCACTGCCCCTAGACACCATTATTTGCTGTTTGCAGCTATATATTTTTCTCTCTTTGACCTCGTAGCTGTGAAGAACCATAACTTGTGTGATGTATTAGTGTCTCCCGATCTCCTGCTTCTGTCCCAGAACAGAGATCAAGTTTCAACACTTTGGGTTGAAATGGTCACTGTGGTCCCCCCTGGTTTAAGAGGTGTTGTAGAGAATGTGTGTCATCCGAGCACTCAGCAGTCGTATGTCAAGAAGTGTGGGTGCAGTAGCAGTCCACATTGTGTGTCATCACAATCAATTTACACATGTGCACACATCTTACTGCCTAACCGCTGAATGTGCATGTGTTGTTTCAACTGTAGTTACTAAGCAGCTGTACAGGAGCAAAGGTTGAAGAAAACAAATGTATTTTTGAGTATCAAACACTTACTGGCTGTGGCTTAAAACATGTCAAAACATATCAAAATGTCCATAGAAACTTCTCAAACAACACAACAAGAACTGGCAATACAAATGAGTAAAAACTGCACAAAAACAGCAGCTTTAGAGCTCCTTGGCAAAGTTTCTGACCTGCAGGAATGAAAAACCATTAATCCAAAAAATATTCCCTCATTTGGTGTTTTGATGTTGGTGTTAAGGAGACTTCACAAAGAGGTCTTGAAGAGGCTCCAAGACCTTTGAGATCAGGTTACTGCGAAGGTCAGAGCATATGATTCACATTATTTTCATACCCATCAAAACATATCTGTGACCCATTGTGTCCTGTATGGAAGCAGATTTGTTGTTTTTTCATGAATTTATTCAGGGTTTCTTTGACATTTTGGGAAATATGCTTATTCGCTTAGATGTCTGTGAAAAGGGCTATATAAATACATTTTACTTACTGACCTATTTACTTCCTTACTTAGAACTACATATTGTTGTTTTTAAATCTCTGTTTGTGTATAGATGAAATAAACAAGATAAAATAATATTTCAATTAGTGAGCTTAGATGTGCTAGTAGACGTATTCTTGAACTTTAGACAGACCCATGCTAGCTGTTTAATGCTAAGCTAAGCTAATCACCTCCCGGCTCCAACTACGAATTAAACTCACAGTCATGAGAGTGGTATCAATCTTCTCATTTCACTCCCAGCAAGAAACGGAGTAAATAATAGAGGAGTATTTTCCAAAATGTTGAACCATTCCTTTCATTAGTCATCTGTCTGTAGCTTCCACACATACTTGTATACTGGCAGAGAAATATGTTGTCCTGCTTCTCGTATGTGCGGAGAGGAATGAGATCCTTGACTCATTCTGACATCTGCTTTCCACAAGAGGTCTATTATTCCACTGAGAGTGTGTCCAAACCTGAGAGGTTGCTGAACCACTTCCTGTGTCCATACTGGAAGTTTATTCAGTGCAAACCTATATACTCAGAGTGAGAAGTGGAGAGGGAGTAATTGTCATCATGGGCCTTCAGGGTCTGTGCTTGGGCTGTGCTGTGTCAGCAATGTGCCAAGGAGAGAGAGGGAAGAGGGGGATGGAAAAAGAGAAAAATACAACCTCAAGTCGACATGATTTCACAAAAAATATTATTTGTTTCTATATTTTACACCTGCTTTCTTGATCTTAGTGTGTAGCTGTTGTTTCTGCTTTTGTTAATGTGCTTTATTTTTTTCCGATTCAAGGGGGAAACATTTGTCGACAGTTGTATTTTCAGCTGAGGAGTCGCATTCCTTCCCCGACTTATTTTTGGGAGCAAAACAGCAAGTGGTTTTAATTTACGGGGACTTTATTACCAGAAAAGAATGTTTTCAGAATGCCTGCCTGTTACTTACAACCCCCTCCAGGGCATGCATGCATGCAGTTTGTGTTCTGTCGTCCTAATGAAAGATTACTCGCTCATGTTTTCAATAAAGAGTGGAGTGAGTAAGACGAGGAGAGAAGAAGAAAACATTAAAGGTTCACAAAGAAGTAGAAAATAGTTAACAACAGCATAACAAACGGAGAGGCAACGCAGAGCACTGCTGGGTTTGACTTGTTGATCTTATCCCAGATCTGCAACTGTCTGCAGGAATGGTCTGTAACTGGTCAAAAGGATGGTGGGTCAATCCCGGATTGACCAATGACAGGCAGGCAGGAATGTATCCCAGACATGACACAAATCACTGCATCCTAGCAGGGGCCAGGGTAAAGCATGCCATGAGGATTGGTGCTGAGAGTGTTAGTGGGGAGAGCAGGCGTAGGTCAGCTGCAGGTCGGTTGAACAAACCCCTAAGAGCAGCCCTTTGTTTAACACTCGGCTTAAAGCAACTGATAAAGACTTAAATGCAGAATAAGTCTGCTACAGAACATCTTACCAATCAGTAGAGGCATGTGTTCACACAGTGGAAGCTTAGTGCAGCCTAAGTTTGAACAAAATCCGAATGGAGACAATTGTGACTGTAAAAAAGTATTTTAGAGGGAAAATGCAGAATAACAGTGTTTTCATCCCAGTATTCCTACAAATTACATTAAAGGTCCAGTGCGTAACATTTAGGAGGATCTGCTGGCAGAATTGAAATATAATGTTGATGTTTCTATTAGTGATAATCATAATCATAATTTAGGAGTGTGTTTTATCATTACCTTAAAATGAGCCGTTTTCATCTACAGATTTTGTGGGTTGCCTACCATGGAGTCCGCTATGTTGAACCACCATATGTCTACAGTAGCCCAGAACGGACAAACCAAACACTGGCTGTAGATAGGGCATCTCGCTACCACCGTAGTTCCTACTACACACTTCACAGCCTGTTCTGGTTTCCACGTCATCAAATACAGACACAAGTGGTGTTCAGTTAATTGCAATCTGCAACTTCACCGCTTGATGCCACTATATCCTACACACTGGTCCTAATATTGGGCGACTCTTTCAGGCAAACATTATTTATATTGCCAACATTGGGTACCAATGCAAGAAATAATGTAATGAGACGCACAGTAATGGTGCATTCACACACACTCTATGGAGCATGTCCATAATTTTCTTCACTCAGCTCTAAATGGGCAGTAATTTTCTCACATTGCCACTTTACTGCCACACAATGAAGTTATGTTCCCACAGACAGTTTTTCTTATTCAGGTCCTGTTAGCTCATATCAATGTTGTTGATCTTGACAATGAGCTTTTAAGCACTTTTATGTAGTTGAGGGGAGTAGATAACAAGTATGTGCTTCAGGTTCACAAGGGAAGCAAAATGAGCGTGACTGGTTGTCGCCAAGTTTTTGGTCCCACAGGCCAGAGGACGTATCCATAAAGTTGAATCTCTACTGACGTCTCCATGTCTCGCAGCTGGGTGCCTTTTGAGTCTTTGCGTAGCAGTACTAAATTGCCTCGATTCCAAATAAATTGCATCATGTTGCGTCTTCAGTGTTTGTCATTCATACAGGAGCCTAATGTTAGCGCTCTGTTGCAGACCAACACTTTCTGTTGGATTTTTTCAACCGTAACCATAATTTCAGTTACCTAACCTCAAGCACACTAATTATATCGTAATAATATCTTATCCATGTACCTCAGTTTCTTTCCCTGAACACCCCCCTGTCAGAGCCTGGAACACATTTAAATTAACATGAACACGTATTGAGAAAAACAGTCACATAAATCTAAATACAGCAGGCAGCTTGGAAGGTAGAGGGAGTTACAATTGCTGGAAGCAGCAAGGATACAGCGCTCAACATTGGTGTGTCCGAATAGTGTTAATATGGACTACCTAGTGTCAGACATAGGACATT